TTTAAAAGAATAATTGTTGTCCAAATGTGCCATGTGTGTGTGTGTGTGTGTGTGTGTGTGAAAATATATAGAAAATAGGAAGGAACTGGTTAGGTAAATAATCCAAAGTCCCTTAGTATTTTAGTTATTATTTTTAAAAAATAGTGCTTGATACAAAAGTAGAGCATAAATATAATTATTTATTTAAAAATATGATTCCAAATCGCTACATAAGAGGTCTCATGTTTCAAAACAAGAGCCGAAAACTTCAATATAATCCTTTAAATTAAATTGAGTTGAAAGTAAAATGGGCTCCGTTCCATCTTCAAGCGAAATTTTTGTTGGAATAACGTATATCTGAAATTTACTTGTTTTAAAATTGAAATCAAAATCCCCATGGTAACAGCTAGGGTGAATTGTCTAAATTGGGCAGGCGAGTGTAGGGTGTTTATAATAAGTAGCGGTATAGAGATACTTTCAAGGTGTCAAGTCGGGGAAAGGTGGGGGTGTCAAAAATGAAACGGAAGATGTATTGGCCATCATCTAGTTTGCTTGCCTATGGAGATTTATTTATTTATTTTATTTTATTTTATTATGAAAGGGAATTGTGCATATAAAAAAAGAAAAACTTTCGTAACGTTTGTTTTTTGACGACTTCATAAAGGGTTATCTTATATGTAAGGTATTTAAACTACTAATTTAGGCTATGGATTATGAAGTGTGTTATGTAGTATGCATGTTTGTAGTTAATTATTCCTACTATGAATCTGATGATTGGGCTATTTGTTAAACAAGTTATATAAATTTTTTTATCTAATAATTCAAACCAAAAATCTTATGATGCCTACAAAAAACCGTTAACTCGTGTCTATTATTTAATAGATTATTATTATTTAGAAGTTTAATAATGTGCAATTTTTCATGGAGGCACTATTTCATCCACAGAGAGCCCTAGCACTAATATGATATACATTGGGTCCACGAAGAATAATTTTAAAGATAGATGGAGGCAGCATAAGTGCTCCTTAAATAATATAAACAGACGAAATCAGACTTCACTATCAAAATATTTTTGGCACCTGAAGGAAACAAATAAGACACCAAAAGTTAAATGGAAAATTATTGACAAGGCTAGAATATGTAAAGCTTGGGATGACCCATGCCCTTTGTGCCTCCATGAAAAATTAACTACAAACATAAATAAAAATAAATAAATCTCCATAGACAAGCAAACTAGACGATGGCAAATACATCTTCCGTTTCATTTTTGACACCCCCACCTTTCCCCGACTTGACACCTTGAAAGTATCTCTATACCGCTACTTATTATAAACACCCTACACTCGCCTGCCCAATTTAGACAATTCACCCTAGCTGTTACCATGGGGATTTTGATTTCAATTTTAAAACAAGTAAATTTCAGATATACGTTATTCCAACAAAAATTTCGCTTGAAGATGGAACGGAGCCCATTTTACTTTCAACTCAATTTAATTTAAAGGATTATATTGAAGTTTTCGGCTCTTGTTTTGAAACATGAGACCTCTTATGTAGCGATTTGGAATCATATTTTTAAATAAATAATTATATATATATATATATATATATTATATATATATGCAAGTTAAACGACGAGAGAATGCGGTGTTCGTGTGACCAATGTAAGAATTTCATTTTATTTTGTCATTATTGGTATTGGTGATACAATCTCCCAAAAGATGCCAGAATTCCTAAACAATTGTTTTTAACGGTGTTTGGAATAGATTTTTAAGTGCCGAGCTATTAGGCTAAATTCGGTACCTCAAAAATTCCTCCATCTCGTTTGCGTATAATACTGATGAAGCAGGGCATGGCAATTGCTGCAAAATATACACAAATTATTAGAAAAATAATTTGATTCGACAGAGACTAGAGCCTCTGTTTAGTGTCAACGTTTATTTGTTACAGTTAAACCAGTTCATATGAAAATATTTCGGTTGTCACATAAAATAAGAAACTCGATCATGAAGAATATTTTCTCCCTTTTCATTCAAACAATTCAGTAAGGAGAGAGAAAGGGAGACGTGCACAGACATTTATAAATGGACTCAATCCCATACACATATATACGCCAAACATATTCCTTTAAGTCATCTTATTAAAGACAACAGTATCCATGACTTAGAATAAGTCAACATACAATGTCATACTACCACTTTACTTACTTTCTTTTTGTGAGAGTTCCCTTTCAACAATTTTATTTTATTTACAATCAAAATGAATGCTGAGAGCAAGACCTTAAGCAATTTGCTTTGGGCACAACAATCACTGATCAAAGAACAAATATTTACTGCCTCTTCTCAGGTAATTATTGCCTGTGGCTTAAGGATAAGTAATAAGCAAGAATAAAGGTAATAACGATGTGTTTAGAAGAAAAGCGATATACTTGAGAGGAAATGGTAGACTCTGTTCAGTGGAGAGGAAAGTCAAGAACACAAGAATTTATATATTAAAGGGGAAGGGGAAGAGTTGAAATAGCAACAGGAAGGTATGGATGAAAAGGGAAATGAGAAATAGATGAGAAGAGTAGAGAGAAGTAGAGATTAAATGAAAAGAGTAGAGAGAAGTAGTGATTAAATGAAAAGAGTAGAGAGAAGTAGTGATTAAATGAAAAGAGTAGAGAGAAGTAGAGATTAAATGAAAAGAGTAGAGAGAAGTAGAGATTAAATGAAAAGAGTAGAGAGAAGTAGAGACTAAATGAAAAGAGTAGAGAGAAGTAGAGATTAAATGAAAAGAGTAGAGAGAAGTAGAGATTAAATGAAAAGAGTAGAGAGAAGTAGTGATTAAATGAAAAGAGTAGAGAGATGGATGAGGAGAGAGAAGTAGAGATGGATAAGGGTAGTGAGAAGAAAGGATGGATAAGGGTGGAGAGAGAAGAGGGGATGGATAAGGGTGGAGAGAGAAGAGGGGATGGATAAGGGTGGAGAGAGAAGAGGGGATGGATAAGGGTGGAGAGAGAAGAGGGGATGGATAAGGGTGGAGAGAGAAGAGGGGATGGATAAGGGTGGAGGGGATGGATAAGGGTGGAGGGGATGGATAAGGGAGGAGAGAGGAGAGGGGATGGATGAGAGAGAAGTAGAGATAGATAATGGAGGAGAGAGAAGTATAGATGGAAAGGGGTGGATAGAGTAGAAGAGATGAAAAAAGGAGGGAGATGGATGTTGAGATCGAAAAGGAAGGCGGTAGAAGTTGAGATTCAAGGGGAAAGAGAAAGAGAAGTGCAAGGAAAAAGAGTGATACATTAGGTGAGAAAGAAAGACATAGAATAGGAAAGACAAAAATTGATGAGAAAGGAGAGAAAAGACAAAGAGAGCAGTAGGGATAGAAGATAAAGGAAAGCGTATAGTGGGATGATAAAGAAGAAGAAAAAAGTAGTGATAGAAAAGGAGGGAAAGAGAAAAGAAAAGAGAGAGAAGGAAGCGATAGAAATAGAGAATGAAGACCGAAAGAGAAAGAGAAAAGAAAGTGGAGCAGAAACTAAAAATGTAGATAAAAGTCAAGCAAGAGGAAGATACCACTGAAAGAAAGAAGATGAAAGAGAAAGGAGCGAGAAGCCGAGAGAAGTAACTATGAAGAAGAAGGGGAAGAGGACGGAGAGAGAAGACGAGCGAAGAGAATGAAGAGAAAAAAGGTAGGTGAAAAAAGTGGAAGGAGAGAGAAGAAGCGACAGAAGAGGAAGGGAGAGAAAAGAGCGATAGAAACAGAAAAAAGGAGGAACAGAAAGAAGATATAAAAAAAGAGAGAGAGAGAGAGAAGTAGCGACATAAAAAGGAGACAGAAGTAGCGACATAAAAAGGAGACAGAAGTAGCGATATAAAAAAGAGGAAGTGTGAGAAGTAGCGACTGAAGAAGGGGAGAGAAGTGGCGGTATAAAAAGGAGGAGGTGAGAGAAGTAGCGGTATAAAAAGGAGGAGGAGAGAGAAGTAGCGATATAAAAAGGAGAGAGAAGTAGCGATATAAAAAGGAGAGAGAAGTAGCGATATAAAAAGGAGAGAGAAGTAGCGATATAAAAAGGAGGAGGACAGAGAAGAAGCGATATAAAAAGGAGGAAGAGAGAGAAGTAGAGACTGAAGAAGGGGAGAGAAGTAGCGATATAAAAAGGAGGAGGAGAGAGAAGTAGCGGTATATAAAAAGGAGGAGGAGAGAGAAGTAGCGGTATAAAAAAGGAGGAGGAGAGAAGAAGCGGGTATAAAAAAGGAGGAGGAGAGAGAAGTAGCGGTATAAAAAGGAGGAGGAGAGAGAAGTAACGACATATTAAAAAGGAGAGAGAAGTAGCGATATAAGAAGAAGGAGAGAGATGTAAATGATATATGTGGAAGGAGAGAAATTTAGACAATGTAGAGAACGATGTGAAAAAAAAAGAAAGATGAAGAGATGAGAGAGAAAGAAAGTGCCTGGAGGATGCCTCAGTCAAAACCCTTCAAAACTGAAGCACACCCCCAGACATCATTATAAAGCAATTAGACTAAATTATCCGAAATTAGGTAGATTACATGAGGTACAAAGTTTCAAGAGGCACATTTTCTCACGGAAAGGCAAATGTGTTGTGACTGGACTATTCAATACAAAATCATTAAAAATATTAATGCAAGCTCTGCCTTCAGTAAGGTTTGACCTGCAAATACAACCCTGATATATATATATATATATATATATATATATATATATATATATATATATATATATTTCATCTAGGCTGTTGTATACATGGGTAGAATGATTAAGAGACATGCCTATTTCTTAAGGAAATCTGCACAAAAAGCTTCAACATTAAAAGTTGTTTATTTTTAACTACACCTCAGGATCCATTAACCCTCAATTTGTCAGTCTAATGTCTTCTGCATTTACGCGTGTGTATATGGAGAGAGATGTGCGCGTGAATATATGTATAAGCAGTAAGGGAGCAGTTATATCTGAATAGGCATATGTGTATATGTCCATAGTCTATATCAGATGGCGTATAAGATAACTCTTTTTAAGAA